TGTTATGGGACTTTCCCCAATAGGAGGGCTGCCTGCCTGCCTGCCACTAAAGCTCAAATCCTCCTCCACCACTGTCAACTAGCTTCTCCAAAACACAACTAACTCTGCTTAGTCCTTTAATTTGCTGCTGCCTAGACTGAACATTTTCCTTCCCTTCCCCTCTACTCCTACTTCTCATCCTGCCACCATTGCCCATCTCTCTACAACTGCTTCTGCCCCTTAGCTCCTTCCAATCCTCTCTTTACTGAAATTACAATCCTCCACTGTTTTAAAACACTTTGTGCAGTAGTGTGACACGTCCGTGCAACTTTGCTACACATCTCCGAGGTTTGCTATATCTTTCTGGACTTTTCTAGCACTTGTACATATCATCACATAGTTGGTAGAATATTCTAAATGTATGTATATAACACCAATAGTTGTAGAGATCCTTAGAACTTTCTAGAATATTAGAGAATCCTCCTACTTGTGTAGAGATTTTTGGAAGATTCTAGAGAGCAAATCATAACCATTGGATTAAATAGATCTCCACCATCCATTGAGTATGTGGAATATGTATAAATACCCCTCATTGGGCTCATTTGTAAACAACCCTCAACAATCAAAGAAACTTTAAGTTCTCAAGTAATCAAAGCTATCAAGTAGCTTTGGGATATTATATTCTTCCCTTACTTGTAGCTTTGGGATATTATATTCTTGCCTTATTTTTTCTTAGCCATCCCACCGATTACTTAGCACATTTTTTAGGGTCGAACGAAAGGCTGACTTAACTATTTAAAAGGGAAAAATAGCTAGGAGAAACGAATCCGTGACAATTGTCTCACTGAAATTACCACGTGTAGTGCATGACTCACTTCTTATCAACTGGTTAAGACTTCGCATCCCTTCTTGTCAACTGCCAAATCCGGGCCGTTTGAGGGTTGCTTTCTTATATTATAAATATGGAGTGAGGCTAGACTTAACACCCATTACGATCATCTGGCCACCTAAACTCAACAGAAGAAAGAAGAATTCAATGACAAACATCTACCCGAGGATTTGTGAAACGAGGATATAACGACTGATTTCCACCCATAATCGTGGGATATGGGTTGAGAGAATCCTAAACTATCATAATTTTCTTCCTAAAATCATGCATTATTTTGTAATCACTTTCTAAAATCATGCATTATTTCGTAACCAACTACCGTGCTTAATTAATTCAAGTATAAATTTACTGTGATACCCTTATTAAATCAGTATTTAAATAATCTATTTTAACCAATCTAATCGCAGCCATCTAGGCCCCAAAATTAAATGGTCAATATCAAGGTGGAAACAGAAAATCAGTTATTTATGATAAGTTTAATTCAGCACCAATTTAGAACTTCAACTCCATTTGTTAAATTACTGTCAAATAATCCAACAATTTAGTCTGAGAAAAGTATCCTTCAAAATCGCATGAAGCATAAGGAGAGTGTTTACTAAGAATCATTTATACTGCAATCAAGAGTCTGGACTAGCTTCTAAAACAAAGACTTTAATATTTATGAAATATTTTATTTTATATATTGTAGCTATACGTGGGCATATGGACCTCTGGATTTATTGGAGAGGATGGGCCTTGCTGCAACCTTAAGACCTGTAATGGCTTTTTCAGCTTTTCCACTTGGATTGGGAATATATATGTTCTGTTCATTTGCCTTGAATGTCTTTTGGCAACTGTTGAAGATGAAAGTACTGTTCTAGTTCTTATGTTCTATGCATTCACTACTGATAGTTTGAACTAGATGGGCATACCCAAAACATTTTACATTTACAATAGAAGCTAGACAGTAGTTACAGTAGTAGGCACTCAAAAGTAATATGTGATGGGGTTTTGTTCTATGTTCTATGCATTCACTATACTTGTAATAGATGGGCATACCCTTTGTAAATAGTTCTATGTTCTATGCATTCACTACTGGTAGTTTGTAATAGATGGCATACCCAAAACATTTGATCCTTGAGTCTTTCAAAAAATTACTTGAAATCATGAAAGTTTATAAAGAATGCATCACATTCTTCCAATGGCTGAACCCCAACCCTAAGGGCCCCCCACACCCCGACGCGACAGAGCATTTGAAAGGATTATGGTAACTCAACTGAACATGAACCACAGAGGCTAGACCGCCCCCCTCACTTTTAGAGGTTGCTCCCACACTGCCGCTGGTGAGACTCGATCCCTGGTCATTCTTCCAAAGTGCATCACATGTTCTGATAATATGATGCCAACTTGAAAACAAAAAACTGGTTCTAAGTATGCAGGTGAATATCAAGGTGGAAACAGAAAATCAGTTATTTATGATAAGTTTTTTTTTTTTTTGAATGCTATTTATGATAAGTTTAATTCAGCACCAATTTAGAACTTCAACTTCATTTGTTAAATTACTGTCATATAATCCAACAATCTGAGAAAAGTATCCTTCAAAATCACATGAAGCATAAAGAGAGTGTTTACTAAGAATCATTTATACTGCAATCAAGAGTCAGGACTAGCTTCTTGAACAACATATTTGCAAATCATTTATATAAGTCAAAAAACAATTCTACAAATGTACAAACAATATGTATTATAGTAGATCCACTTGAATTTTCACCTGACACACATTCTCTTCCTTTTCAGGCATCAGGTATTCTTCTTTTTCTCTCATTTATCCGAACTGAAAAGATCAAAAGTACTCAAACTTTCAGCAAACAAATATCAAGGAAAAACTAGTGTGTGCAAAAAATTAAAAGATATTTGAAAATAAAACCTTGTCTGAGAAATCGACGGTACAGGACATCACTGAATCTCTGATCAATCATCTCCAGATATGAACTGGCCCAAATTATCAAAGTAGCATTTGCACAATGCACCTTGTGGAAATATGTCCTGCTGCATACTGCCTATTTACACAAAAAAAAAAAAAAAAAAAAAAAAAAAAAAAAAAAAAAAAACAGCACTAATTATCTTATAAAATTCAAAAAATAAATAAATTACGGAGTAGAGTAGTTCATTGATCCAAGTAGATAATGATTGTTTCTACTAAAAAGGTTCCAGAGAAATTTACAATTCTTTTGTTCACGATTTCACAGAGATTTAAGATGGGATGGTGAAAGGAACCTTTCGTTTCTATTTAAGAACGTCAGATAGAGGAACATATGACGGTCACAGCGGGGACAGGTTATTGTGTTGGAGCTTTGATCGAACAGCAATGGCCATTTTCAACGACTCATCCTCACTCTAATTTCTCGATGAAGACTAGTGGCGAGGCGAGGGCTGAGAAACTGAGAAGACGACCGGCGCCTCGCCAAGGTATTTACGGCGGCTTGAAACTGACAGTTAGAAAATATTTGAAGGTAAATGAAATTCAAATTCAATGGAAAACAAATTATCAGGAAAATAGATTTCATTGTTTGGTTAGTGGAAAAGAAATTACTGAAAATATAAATTATATTGTTTGGTTGGGTTTGGAATCCTAAGGAATTATGAATATAAAGATTAATATGCCCTTAACAATAATATATATGTGTAATTAATAAACTTTGATGAGGGTCAAGGTTGCAAAAAACGTTAGGCGCCTCCCTAGGCGTCGATTTTTTTATTTTTATTTTTATTTTTTATTTTTTTTAAAAAAAAATGAAACTATAATTTTTAAAATTCAATAGTAAAACATAAGGTTCCTCTAGTTTTCTCTTACAAATTATTTACGTAAGTGGTTGTAAAATCGTTTTGAATATTGTTGAAACCATTTAAATACATAAAAATTAAAATTAAGAGCAAAAGAAGCATTTTTTTGAGAAATTAGAGGGCCAAACCGCCTTTGGCAATTTGCGGTGTATAGATCTCGAAAATATACGCGATTTGAAAAAAAAAATTTTGTCCAAAACAGACAATCGAGTCAAAAGTTATGCCTTTCCGAACTTTTAACACTTTACAACTAAAAAAAAAAACAAAAAAAAAAAAACAAAAATTAAACGCGGCCGAACGGGCCGGCTAGCCGCCAGGCCGCGGAGGAGGCCGATTCCGGCCGAATCGTCCGCGGTCGGGCGGCGCCTAGCGCCTAGGCGCGATTTTTGCAACATTGATGAGGGTAAAATAGTCCAATTGTGTTATACTTTCTTCCCAAATCTTTTGGAAAACAAAAATATCAATCATTTGCTAAGATTTTGTTTTCCTTCACTTTGGGGAAGTCAAGTTCCAATGAAAAATATTTCTCATTCAAACAAATAACATAAAACAACATTTTCCTACATTCCTAGGAAAATGTTTTCCATCCAACCAAACACCCCCTGAGAGTCGGTGGGAGAGACAGAGAGTGGGCAAATTATTGTGTGGACCATGGTCCACACAATGTTATGTGGACCATAACAAAAAGTACATTTTTAATATACTAAATATACATTATTTTTGTATTGAATGTACATTATACAATATAATGTACACTCTGAACAAAAATAATGTACATTCCTTGAATACAATGTACATTATTTTTGTACTGAATGTACATTATTTTACAATAGACAAAATATGGTCCACACAATAATGATTGCAGAGAGTGAGGTTAGGGATTTAGGGGCGTTTGGTTTAGGTTATATAACATAACTAAGGGAATGTGACATTCCAAAAGCTTACATTATCTTAGGGAGTATAACATTCCCAAGGAATGAAACATTCTCTCCACATAGGATTTTGAAGGGAATGTGATTCCCTTCCCTTTCTTAGGTTATGTAAGGTAATCTTGGATATTTATAAATTTTATCATTTTAATTCTAATTATTTAAAAATATATATTTTATTTAATGAATGAGCCTTTTATTTTCATATATATATATATATATATATATATATATATATATATATATATATATATATATAAGGGATCAGGTGCATTTGTGGCTTCCCGTGCGGTAGATTAATGTGCGTGAGTTATATACTTAATTTGCGTGAGTCTCGTGCTTAATGTGCCTGAGATTTGTACTTAATGTGCGTGAGTTTGTGATGTTAATGTGCGTGAGTTTTGTACTTAATGTGCCCGAGTATTGTGCTTAATGTGCAAGAAGTTTGTGCTTAATGTGCGTGACTTTTAACAAGGTTGTTGAAGATCGCCAATTTCGTCCTGGACCAATTCCGGTGGTGGTGAACAGAGATTACTTGACTTCTCGAAGACTTACTTCTCGAAACTGTCATTTTACTTCTCTTAGTTGTCTTCTCGGAATTTACTGTGTTGACTTTTCGAAGCTTTAACTATCCTATGGTTATTTTTTGAATTATGTTTACTTTCCAGTTAGTAAAATTCATTATCTAAGTGAACCTTTCGGATTTACAATTCGTAACACTAATGAGTCTAAAAATGAAAAATAATTGAGGACTAAAAATTCGTAACTTATTTGGTATCATCAAAATCTAAAATACAGTTGTTCCTAACAAATATGGTTGTCATTTAAAAATTATTTAATTAAAGTTTTTAATGATGTTTTTTTTGTACATTAATTTTATTTGTCGTACAAAAAGAAAACATAAGTTTACATTTTTAAAAACATATATTAATTTTTAAAGGAGAAGTTAAGAATTGTTTAATTAATACTGGATATATATTACTTGAATCCATGTTGATGTACGATTTCAAGTCCATCATATAACTATTGCAGCATGAGTTTTTAGTTCCTAATTAGGTAGTATGAAAATAAGAAACGAGTAAATTAAAAAGAGTTAATGTTGTATGGGGTCCTCCGAGTATAGTGATTTTGTCATGTTTAGTCCTAAACTTTCAAATTGATCACTCATGGTCCTTTGACTTTCGAATTGTTACCATCCGTGATCCAAGTTAACCACCCATGGTCCTTCAACTTTCAAAATTTAACCAGCCGCGATCCTCCTAAAAGGACCATGGGTGGTTAAAATTTGATAGTTTAAGGACCACGAGTGGTTAACTTGGATCATGCATGGATGGTTAAAATTTGAAAGTCAAAGGACCATAAGTGATCAAATTAAAAGTTTAGAACTAAACGTGAAGAGACTACTATACTTGGAGGACTTTTAGTGAGTAAATACCCAAAATGGTCCCTCGACTATAGCTAAATTCACAAATTGGTCCTCGACTTTCAATTTCAACCAATTAAGTCCTTAACTTTGCAATTTTGACACGATTTGGTCCTCCATCTATTTGACCGTTTGTTGACCGTGATCGACGATCTCTAGAAGAACCTTCAACTCTCGTCGGAGCATGTAGAGGCCTCCAGGATGACGTTGCACCGGTTCGGAAACACCTCGTCTTCTTCGCTCTAGTTCGAACTCAACTACATTGAATCCAAAGGGAGGATGAAGAAAAGCGACCGGATTTGGTAGATTGCTTTCGGCAGTGGATTTAAATGTAACAGTGCGGTCTGGAAATGAAACCGGAACCTTAAAAAACCGACGATGGACCATGAAATTACATATATATCCTCAAAAATCACAGTCAACAAACGGTCAAATAGACAGAGGACCAAATTGTGTTAAAATTACAAAGTTAAGGACTTAATTGGTTGAAATTGAAAGTCAAGGACCAATTTGTGAATTTAGCTATAGTCGATGGACCATTTTGGGTATTTACTCACTTTTAATGGTATTAACTCAAATTAAAAAGATAAACGGAAAACGCAAGAAACGAAGCATGCCTGTAGCCATGTAGGCAAGTACAAAATAAAATATAAAAAAAAATAAGAGTGTATTTGTAAACATTTTTTCGTTTAAATATGTATTAAATATTAATTGTTTACAAATTTTTTTTGGAAAAAGTATTTTTTTAATTTAATCTTTTAAAATTAAGAAAATGACTTGACTTTTATAAAGTTTATGTAAATTTGCAAGAAGAAACATTTTCTAAAACGTGAAAACACTAACGTACCATTGAGAGTTTGTGTGCAACATAGGAGACTAGTTTTAACAAAATAAAACAAAAGAGAATCTGTGGATTAGGATTGTCATACAAAATGTATGAGAGTGAGATCGAGCAGAATACGCTGGTCTTTCAAAATCAATCATTACTATACTTACATTTGAATGGTTTACAAAGAGTTTCCTGTTTACATATAAAACTGCCATCTCTTCTTTACGTTCCTTTCGCCCACATTTCTGTACCCCTTAAAGAAAGCATAAACAACCAAGAAAAAACACAGAAAACAACAAGAAAAACAGGGAACTTGGACTAGGAAGAAATTTGGGTATATACAACATTGTAAGATTTCAAAGCCATCCCAGAATTTTGTGTTTTTGTTTCCATGGCGGATTAGATTAATCGATATTCTCAAGTTTAACAGCTTTTGTGGGCATATGGTCCTGTTCATGTTTGGATCGACAGCTGAAGGTGGCCATTCAATTGCTAATTTTTTCATGCATATTTGAAGAATTGGGTCATCAGGTTGGTTACGTTGCATGGAAAATGAATTTGCTTTCTTCACATTTTTAAAAAAGTTAAGTATATATATACCTAATATGTCATAATTCTTGACTAGATCCAACACAATATGAAATTAAAAGGCGTTTAATTGTATCATTTCTCATTTTGTTGCTATATATCCTAATGATCCATGCAGGTGGTAGGATAGGCTAGGCTAGAATAGGATAGGTAAGTATTTAAAAGATGTTTGGATTCAGCATAAGAACCAGACAGAACCAGAATAATGCTGCCCCAGCTGCCCCTGCCGTCCCTGCCGCTGCTTCCCCAAGGACAACAAGCTCACCGAGGGTGCCTGGTTCTCCGGCGGCCACCAACTCGCCGAGACATGTTGGCACTCCGGGGGCCAAAAACTCCCCGAAACAAGTTGAGGTTGGGGAGATTGACACCCGGGCACCTTTTCGATCTGTCAAAGCTGCTGTTAATTTATTTCGTGAAGCCAGTAACTCCTCCCCCAAAGCTGCGCCCACCGTCGTCAAGAAAACCACCAAAGCCCCCGATGAGGTACGCATGCAATTATATATATATATATATATATATATATATATATATATATATATATATATATATATATAGGCTTAGCTTATGTTCATATGAGAATTTTGCCTTAAATGAGAATCTGCAAACTACTACATGATGTACACAATCTACCCCAGGCTGGATGATATGGAGACCCTTTAGTAGATTGTGTACATTTGTATAGTAGATTTTATGCACTCATACAACAATTCTCATGTTTTATGGTTCTTATCCTCAATCAATATATGGCCTTGTTTGGTAAAAAATTGACCTATAAGTCAATTTTAGCTTATTTGATCACTATTAATTGTTTGATTTACTTAAAATATCAATATAAGTGTTTGATTAATTAGCTTTTTGCAACTCCAAAATGTTAAAATGCAAACAATTACTCCAATCAACTTTTTCAATTAGCTTTTTCAGAAAAAAAAATTATACCAAACAGTTATCGGCTAACAGCTAATTTACCAAACACTTTTCTACAACAACTAATATTATCAACTAGATATACCTTCTAATTAACACAATCAGCTAACAGCTAACCGTCATTTATGGCTTATATGTTCTCATGTTCTATGGTTGTTGTTTTGAATTACATTGTGGCACCAGCTAGCTAGCTAAAGATTAAATAAATTAAAACAAAATTGTTGGCATGGCATGACAGAGAGTTTTGGTGAAGGAAACACAGCTGCACTTGATAATGAAAGAGCTTGATAGCTTGAAAGAGCAGCTAAGAAACACAGAAGCCACAAAAACCCAGGCACATAAGGACCTAGAAAGGGCGAAGAGGACGCTGAACGAGCTAACCGGGAAGCTGGAAACCATCTGCGAGGCGAAGCAGGCGGCCATTGAGGCCACAGAGCTCGCCAAAGTTCGGGCTGAAGAGCTGGAGATGGTGCAGAAATCCGGCGGCGACGATGCATGGAAAGAGCTAGTCGACAACGAGAGAGAGCAGTACAAGTTCTCGGCAGGGGCACTCAACTTCGCAAAGCAAGAGCTAGCCAACCTGCGGCAAGATTTCGACGCGGTTTTGGAAGCCAAACTCGCCGCATTCCAGCAGGTGGGCGATTCCCAGCACGCCACCTCCGTTAACCGGGAGAGGGAAAGCGAGTTCTCAAAGGAGGTGGCCGCCCTGCGCCAAACCTTAGCTCAAGTCAAGCTCGCACCCCTCCAGGCTCAACAAGAAAACGCCAAGCTCAACTCCGAGCGAGAAGCCCACCTCGAGTCTCTCAAAGCAGCAAAGCAAGAGGCCGACCAGAAACTCAAAGCTCTCAGGGAATTGGAAGAATCCCACCCGGCATTCAGCAAAACCCTCGCAGCTAAGCTCGAGGAAACCAACGCCACCATGGACGTCCTGCGCGAGCAGCTAAACAACGTCAAAATCTCCGACATTGCCGACTGGCGAGACGCATCTTCCGAGCTGGAGAATTCCAAGAAAGGGCTGGAACAACTCCATGCCGAGCAAGTTTCCCTCAAGATCCTAGTAGATTCCCTCAAGGTAGAACTCGAAAACGTGAATGCCCTTCGTTGCGAACTGAGAAGCAAGGCGGCCGAGACAGATTCAATGGCCGAACGATTGGAGTTCGAGTTAGACAGAAGCAAGAAGGAGCTGGAGGCAACTCTGGCAAGAGCCATAAAGCCAGAAGCCGACGACATAACCCCGAAAATCCTCGAGCTATCCTCCGAGGCCGAGAGAGCGCTACTAGGAGCCGAGGAAATGAAGAAGAGCGCCGAAACGTACAGACAAGACGCCGAGAAGGCTCGGGCTGTAGCTCAGGAAGCAGAAACCAATCTGGAAATCGCACTGAAAGAGCTCGAAGAGGCGAAAGCAGCACAAAAAGTAGCAGACTATAGAATCCACAGCGCATCAAAAAAGTTCGCCGCCGAGGCGGCTACAAGCTCAGACTCCTCATCTGGGAACGGGAGAATCAAGTTATCAGCTGAAGAATACGAATCTTTGAGCAACAAAGTCGAAGAGCTAAAATCCGAGGCGGATATAAAAGTGGCAACCGCCATGGCCCAAGTGCAAACTCTCAACGCCAGCGAAAAGGAATTGGACGAGAAACTGGAAGAGTGTATGAAACAGAAAGAAGAAGTACAAGCTGCAATCCAGGAAACTCTGAAGAGAGCAGAAATGGATGAAGCAGCAAAGCTGGTGTTGGAGTGCGAGCTCCTCAAGTGGCGCCAAAAAGGACACAATGAGAATGAAGTTGGAGAATCCTCTTCTGTTGGCCGATCCGAGAAGAAGATTATTCAAATGAATTAAACAACAGTCCGGCCAGGGAATTAATTAAAGGGAATCATATCCCCAGGATAGGAAATCTAATCCAGTATATATATACATGCATTTTGCACAAATTATTAGTAGAATTACTTGTATGAATGAACATCTATCTGCATTTTTCTGCTGCAGAACCTGTAAACTAACACAGACATTGCATCTTCTTCCAAAATTTCAATAGAGAAGAAATTTTTAGCAAAATAACAAAGTATTAATGTTTCCTTTTTCCCATTTGAGTACTGTTGGGTAGAGGCCGGTGAAGGGCCAAGTCCAACCGTCAGGGCAAATTATTGTGTGCACCATAAAAAAAAGTACATTTCTAATATACTGTATGTACATTATTCATATACTGAAATAATGTACTTTCAGTACTCAAATAATGTACATTTTCTAAATACAATGTACATTTTTAATGTACTAAATGTACATTATTTTTGTATTGAATGTACATTATTTTGCAATATACAAAATATGGTCCACACAGCTTGTATGGACCATGGTCCACACAATAATGATTGAACAATTGGTGGTTAGGGGACTATCGGACAGAGTCCGGGCCAAATCCAGCATCTTGTCTCTCAAAAATGTGATGACGGTCTAGAAATAAAGTTGCATCTTCCTAGTAGCTAGCGCTTGATCCTAACAAGTGGTATTAGAACCAGGTCTCATCAAGAACAAAAACTGTGCAGTTAAGACTGGGAAGTAATACCGAGAGGGAATTGTTAGGCTGAGGCTTGTAAAGGGCCAAGTCCATCAATTGGTGGTTAGAGAATTGTTGAACAGAAACCAGTATCCATCTATTGGCGGCAAATTTTAACAAAATAACAAAGTATTCTTTCCCTTTTTCCCATTTGAGAATGCAATTTCTATAAAGGAACAAAGAGTTTCAAGCCACTTTATAAATTTGATAGTGTAATACAATAGAATAGAACCTGAGATAGCCACACATCTGCTTTACATTATTCGCCAATATCTTCCATGTCTAAACATCAATATAACTCGATCCCTATGTACACCTCACAGTACACCCAAACAAACTTATAGTTTCAAATTCGAGGATGCAACTTGCATGTTAGCTTACACATATAATATATATATATATAAGTCTATGTTGTAGGGAAAAAAAGATCTAGTATAAGCTACTTCTCTACACGAAAGAAAGACGTTGGTTAGAAGGTAGAGCATCCAAGTCGATAACGGACAACTACAGACATCACCAGAGCCCAATCGAGCAGCAAAAGAAACAATAACAGAGAACTCAACTCTTTATCAATGGCGATTGTTAATTTTCAGGTCTTCCATTGACTCGGCAAGCCCATCTTGGTTTCCAAGTTTTTGTAACTCGGATGCCATTGTCTTGACGAGCTCTGTTCCTTCTGTGTCAGTCTCGGGGAAATCCACATGAACAGAGCCCTGTTTTAGTGGACCCCGAGGCTCGCGAATTAACGACTGCTGCTTCATGTAATTGTAATGTTGGTGGTGAAAGGGATGGTCCAAGGAGAAGCAATTTTCAAATGACCCTTCGGAATATCGGGAAGAACCCGAACCTTGCCTACGACAAAAGTGGGGGAGAGACGAGTAGTCCATTATCTACACCAAAATATCAAATACCATGGGGTTAATCTCTCTCTAATACAAAGATATACCTACAACCCTACTCAAACTAACTGTTACGAAAGTGAAGAGAGAGAGTTTCTAATGTGCTGTCATATATTGTCTCAAACTGTCATTTAAAATAAAGAATACAAAGCCCTATAAATAGGTAACTAGAAGACTACGAATAGGAAACAAGTTTCCATATACCCTACCTTCCTAAATCCCTAAGACTACCTAATCTATAGGGATTCTATATATCAAATATATATTCTATATTCCATAACACTAACATATAACTTTCTAATTTATGTTAGGCAGAGGCCGGTGAACGGTCAAGTCCAGCAATTTGTCGCTATAGGGGATTGTTGGGCAGAGATGGGTGAAGGCCAAGTCCAGCACCCTGCCTCTCGAAAATGTGTGGCGGTATAAGGAAATAAAGTTTCGCGTCTTCGCTACTAGCTATAACTTCTGTTTAAGCGTTTGATCCTAACATTTATAAACTCTTCAATAATGAGTCCAACGTAGTGTTTAAATCCAATATGGTGATATAATACATGAATAACGAAGTTGAAGAAAAAATTTGGAAAGCAAGAAACGTTACCTTCAACAGATCATCTTGTCCACAACCCGATAACACTTGAATTTTTTTTCTCGTCCTCTCCTGGAGAAGAGGTCTGACAACCTGATGATAGTTCGCATGTGAACAACATTTACTTCAGAGAGAATTTTCAAAACCCTAAGCACATTAAAATTCTGCTCGAAAAGCAGAGATAAGAACTCGGAATGTGGGCAAACCTTCCAGCAAGCCGAAAAAATATAGGGCGCATTCACAATGTAGTATGTAACTGTCTTCTCTGGATAATTCAGGTCATCAATTGATGAAATAACAGTGCATAACTGCACAAGAATAAAACAGTGTACTCTTCAGCAGATTTTAAAATATTTCACACTTATCAATCAAAAAAATAGTATTTTATATGCGCGAGGCACAAAAATATATGCCCAGTATTAATACTCAATGATAAAATTTTAATTATATATATATTTTTAAAATTCATAATAGTTGTAGAATTCATATTATATTAAAAATATAGTTGCTAATTTGAGTAAGGCGAGGTTTACCGAGTACACACTCACGTTTTGAAATTTTTAAATGGGGAATTCAAGCAAAAGTCAAGTTCGTGCTGAAATGAATTCCATTACTGAACAAATAGCAGAGCTCATCATGTACCTTTATTTGGCTCAAAGCTGAAAGTTTAAGGCCCGTCATATCAAAAATCTTGATGCATTTGCTAATATGTTTCCCATGCTTCTTCGATGCAGCAGGCTACATAAGATACTCCAAGTCAGGATATGATATATATATATATATATATATATATATATATATATATGCGATGCAAAGAGAAATTAAAGAGAAATCTTCAGAGGTGCTTACCAGAACCACACGATCCCTATACTCATTGATCTGAATGTGAGATTGTACATAGTAATTATCCTGATATGACGAAATATATATGATTGATCATTACAAGGAAATTTTGTAAAATAAAGATGATTTCAACAGACCATAAAATTATGAGAAGATAGATTGTGTAGGCGAAATCACATTCAAACAATTACAAGCGGTAAAAAAGAAACAAATTAAAGATCACTCAGCATTCAATAATATTTTGGATTTCAATAAAATCTTTTCTTCTAAGTTCTACCAAATCAAAATGTACTTCAAGACTCAAGCCGAGATGATTGTTAGTAGAAAGCTTCAATCTAATCCATTCTCACCGATGCTTTGTCAAATGTGCTTAGACCCACACCAAAAGCAAATACCGGAAGGCCCTGCTACAGCCAAAAATCAACTGTTACAAGGGTAATAAATGCATAAAGTACTATACTTTTTGCCTATTTGAATTATAAAATAATTTGTTTTTGACCCGCCCTAATGAGCTAAGGATGGTATGTATTAAAATTTTATTTTGCAGAATAAAAAGCACCTCTCTTGTGTAACCAGAAAGTCCAACTAGATGTGAATCTCGTACATCTCTGTAACGATCAGTAGGAATGATAGGTTTCTGCAATTAATATTAGCCAGAATTAGCACAAAAGTCCCACATTGATAAAATAAGAGAGAACATATGGGTTTATAAAGCTATGAGTTAGATTAGCTAATTGATTGGATTCAGTTTTCTAGTGTGGGTTGGCCCATGTACATCATATATAGTTGAATATAAGGTATTCTAACCAAGCCAAGCATCAATCAAACTAAGTTATTGCATTAATAATTAATCATATAATACTCACTGCTAAGATATCATCTATCTCATTTTGCACCCTCCATTTTAAGCAATCCACCAACTGCAACAGTACACAATTATATATCAATGCGATAGAACATAATGACAATAATTTCATCCTGTATCGGGAAGGAACTTTTGAGAAGAGAATCATGAGCCAATTCTGACCATCTTGTGGGCCTTAGAAACATTTCCTTCTCTTGCCGTTAGGAAACGCACTAGAGTTTCATGTGGATGTCCTTGATGAATATTCTACAAATGTAAAGAAAAAAAAATGCATAAGTATAGATGACTTTAACAAGTCAAATGGAGCAGATGCAAACACACAACAGATTATTAATTTTGCCAATCCAGCAAGACTATATTCATTATTTTGAAGCAACTATTATAAGAATATTAATTGTTCCAGATTGTTTACAGAAACTAAAATGAACACAAAATGAGGATCTTTAGCAATATTCATTTTTGAAAAAACTTTGTTTATCCATTAATTTAATACAAGCATGACCATAAAACCTTAATGTGTAGAAAATGTTTTTTTTTTTTTTGAGGTACCATGATCCCCTAGTCACATTGGGCACGGGAACTCTCCCAATGCCTGTAGCAACACGGTTTGTACCATGATCCCCCAATATCTGGCACTCCAGCAGTCATATTAGACTCCGGGTAGTCCAAGTCAAGCTGTTGGTCAACCCTATTTAGGGGAGCTTCCCAATGTTTGTTGGTAACAAGGTTTGAACCTAAGACATTGCTTGAAGGTAGCCCAACTCTTGCCACCTACCCACCTGCTTGAAACTGTATGGGTAGTTCAACTGGTCACAAAGGTGAAATTTATCACAAGAGACCAAAGATTGAGTCTCAACAACGGTAGTGTGAGAACAACCTCTCAAAATGAGGGGCTCCTTATGCGCATTGAGCAAAAGTCTGGTCTCTGTTGATCAGTTGAGTCTAATTTACCCTTCCACAAACTGTCGGGCCGGGGTGTGGGGGCGCCTGGTGGCTGATTTCATCTTTTTGTCCCAAGTGAAAATGCATAACTTAACATCATATCCCACCCTCCAGAGAGAGGAGGGGGGGTGGGTGGGGGGCGGGGGGCGGGGGGGGGGGGGGGGGAGAGAGAGAGCACTAATAATAGCAAGATTGCAGATATATCTATTTTATGGCAAAAGAGATTCTAATGTTTAAGAGCACCGGCTTGAGATTTAGCTAGCACCTTTAAAAAAATGTCTTTAGTGGGGACAACCTAAGAATTTAGGAACTAATGATCCATAATCTGTAAATCCAGGACCATAAAAAATTCTTGATGGGTATTCCTCTTTTTGCCTCATTCTTCAGAATCTAATTAGAGGAATTAAAACTTTCTACCAACAGTAGCTATTGCAATTAACAATTAAAACAAAGAAATACACTAAAAAGAAAACTTTCCCTTTTCTGGGGGGAAGGATTACAAAACACATGCTGTAGACAAAAACTCTTAATACTGCTGAGAAACACAGATCAGAAATTATGGTAAAAATCAGAACTCAAACCTTGAAAGTCCTCTCGAGTGGTTCATCCACTGTTCATAATTTCAAGCAAAAAGAAACAGATTTGTCAGGTAGAGAGAAGAAAATGATAAATATTTGTGGGAAAAAGAAAAAAAATTTGAGAAAGGTATGAAGAAGGGATGAAAAAGAAAGATTTCTCACCTTGCTCCATCAATGCCCCAAATTCATTGATTGCTTCTTGAGAAATCACACACATTTCTCCTGTTTCTTCCTCTTCTTTCACAGAAAAATGTAAGCCACAATTATTGAATTGCGAAAGAAAGAAAGAAAGAAAACAGCAGAGACCAAACTAGTACTTAGACCTCCCACATTTAAACTTTAAATCTTCCTTTATTATAATGACACTGTTAGTTAAAAGAAAGAAGCATAAACAACAGCAAGAGAGAGAGAGAGAGAGAGAGAGAGAGAGATTATTATATTAAAGAAAGACAAGTAAAGATTCCACTTTTATTGTCAGAGATAAGAATAGGGAAGTGAATGAAGGGTCAAGATTCAATAAAGGTTAGCTAGGCCCCCACAATCACCCCCCAGACCAGACCCCCACCCCCCTCTGGAACCCTCTTTCGTTTTCTCCGAGCTTTTTCCATCTTTGCTCTCTTTCCTCTATCTTTCCTCACTGTTGAGGTCTTGTTTCTTTCATTCCAATGACCTCATGCCGTTTGGAAAGATAGTCATGTTAAAAGAACAAAAAAACAAATGAAGATAAAAAAGAAGACTTGGAAAATGTCAAAAACGAAGTTGACACCAATCTTCACGGTTCACAATATGCATACTTTGTTATTCAAATTACAAAAAATTTTAATTATCTGAATGTCATATCTTTTAAAAATTAATTAGTTTAGAGTGTCGTGAGCGGAGCGTTATGCCCTGGTCTGTGTTCATCATGTGCATGGGGATACACTGTATATTTATAAATTTTATACTGTAAATTTATAATTTTTATACTGTAGATTCATAAAATTTATAATGTAGATTCATAATTTCTATACTGCACATTCATAATTTATATACTGTAGATTCATAAGTTGATAACTACACAATTTAGAAATTATGAATCTACATTACAGAAATTATGGATCTACAGTACATAAATTATGGATGTGCAGTATAGAAATTGTGAATCTACATTATAAATTTTATGAATCTATAATTTAGAAATTATGAATTTACAGTATATAAATTATGAATGTACAACGTGTCCACCATACACATGGTGAACACGGGTCCATAGCATAATTTGCGGTACTTGAGCATGTTCTAACTGCAAGAGGCATCTTTAGAGAATTCTCAATTTCTCTTAAAGGACAAAAGTTCACGGTCACTCACGCAACCGAGCTGGTTCCAGACGTAATAGTAAGTCATACTTTTTTTTAATTAAACAGTCATTCCATCATAATCTCATTAAACGAACCACCTAAAATTTATTTTAAAAAATTGAAAGCATGGAAGTGCATGGGAATGGAGGTGTTGAAATGGTGAATATACCTCTTTTACTGATGACTGGCGGTTCATCAAAGTCCTCTGCGTTGATTGCGCTATTCAACCTCCACCAAGTCATCTGTGCCGTTCAATTTTTGTATCCCACCGCCAACTCTGACTGCTGAAGATATTTGCTATTATTTTTTAGTTGTAGGCTTGCAGATGGAGTTGCAAGCTAAGCAAGAAACTGGAATACCAGAAACAAGCTAGCTAGGAGGAGAGCTGCAGAATGAAGCTAAATCTTAACAACAGAGATGGAGATGGAGATTGATTTAGGTGAGTGAAATGATTTTTAGTTTGGGTGGTCACATTAAGATATATAGTCTTGGATTGGATGGCTTGATCACAACCACACAATTTAATTTTCTACAATTCTTCTATTCTTAAGTCTTGAAATCAATTCTGGCATGCTTTCAAATGTTAAACGTGTGAAGCTCTGATGTTTTTTAATTTTAAACATTAAATGAGTTTGTTGGTGGTAGGTCTTCTTTCGTTTTATTTATTATTTTTTGAATGGGTCAGTTTTCAACTTTTCATTGAATGACCATGTCTACAGTTTTTTTCTTTGTTTATTATTATTATTATTATTATTATTATTTAAATTTTATTGTGGTAACTGGCATGGCATCATTAATTGTGACTTATTTATGCTAGAAAGTATCCTTTAACTATGTTGGAACATCAAAATTCTTCATCAACAACTTTTAATTACACTATATTAAGTTCTTATTTCTTAGTTATGCATTTATGTCCTATCAATTTTCTGGCTAGTTCAAGGGACAATATTCTCTACCACCATTTTCTTTATTGGTCATTATTATATATGACAAATGACTATTGGGTGTTGTTAATTGCAGTTCACGAATTTCAAAATTATCAATTTAGTATTATAACTATTCAATTTTTCTCAATTTCAATCCCTCCGGCCATATTACCGGCAAGAACTCGCCAGAAAATTTTAATTGACCAAATTATGTTGTAATCAGAAGGGCAATCCCGAGCCAGTCCCCTTTGGTGTGCTTGAGGACATTACCCGAAGAGTGACGGGTATCAAAACGACCCCAGCCGATCAGAAAAAAAGAAACCTCTTCGACCTCGGCCTGGGTAAGTAAGCAAGAATGTTGTCGCACGGCCTCATTATTAAGAAAGATTTGCTTCCCACTCAGAATGGTGGGAGCACAGGTTGAGGAGGAACACTCAACACCAGAGAGACCGATCGGAACGGTCGTTGAAGAAGGAGTAACCGGAAGGGTCGAGATAAAATGAGAAAGAGAAGAAGGATGGAAAGAAGGATAGAGGACAGAAAGTACAGCACGGGGCGATTTTGTAATGCCACATCTAATGCCACAGAAAGTACTAGTTAGATAAAAGAGTCTAACTAGTAATAATTAAAACGTATTGCGGAAGCTTAATAACAAAGTTGGGAATGTTATGCCACATCTAAGCCATCAACCTAGATGCACAGGCTAAAACTAGAACTAAACATTTAACAGTCATCAATATTCAAAGGTTCACAGGCCAAACGTCTAAGTACTAAAATGGAACAATGCTAGGACTAGGTACTAGGCTCCAACTAGCGCGCTCTTGAACTGCCTAATCTGTACCTGAAATCATTTTAAATAACTGTTAGCAATAATGCTAAGTAACCCCACTCCAATGTGTAAAGATATATAGATATACATTTGATACTTAAAATAGTTTTGAGACTTGAGAATACATAAGTATATCTCTAATCAACTCTAATTAGTAAAATCACGAGGAATGGACTCAAGGCCAAATCATACAAGAGATATATTCAACAGTACACAATAGACCACAAGATCAACATAATAGACTGAATCGACGAGATAATGATAAAGGATCAAGAATAAGATCAAGGTAAAATAATCATAGCAAGCAACAAGGATAGTTCTCATCAAGGTTATGCAATTAACATCAATATCAAGATACCAAGTCCACCAAGGACACAATCAACAAGTATACATCGCAGAGTCAATCTCAATGACTCGAATCAAATGGTGAATCAGTGTGAAGGGCTCAAAGTCAGCAAGTAACACAAGAGATGCACACAAGGTCATCGCAACGACCCGATTGTGGTAAACCACCATCTCAATATAGATTTCGCGGAGTCATCGCTACGACTCAACAAGATATAAATGTGGTTTTGCGGGGTCAAAGACCCTCGGAGACAACCCTAAATCCTTAAGTGTATACACCCCTATTGGGACCTCCAACCCCCAATAAGTAGAAATAGGTCCGACAACCTGGATAAGTTTCGCCAGGTTGTCCGTCAAACCAACATCCCGTAAGCAAAAACACAAGAATATGCTCATACAACACAAGATCATCAAGAATACACATTGTATAGTTTAAAGTAGGTTTTCATGGACACAGGGTTACCTCTTAGCTCAGCAAAACCTTCAAACCTTCCTCAAAATCACCCTAGCATGTCCTCATCAACATGATCTTCAACCAAGACCCTAAACCCAAACACAAAGAGTAAAATCTTAGATGATGTAGAAGGAAAACCATAAATAAAGACTATAAACATCTATCTCTTACCCTTCCTATGCTTGGTGAGTATGAAAGATGGAAACTTGCTTAGTCTTCTTGGTTGGAAAATAAAGAACACTTTTAGTAGGGCAAAAATGGTGGAAATGGCATGTGGAGTAGAGTGGGAGTGAGCTGAAAAGTTTGAGAGTGATGCTAGCTAAGTGGTGGAAGTTCATCAAGGGTGAGTGTATTAGGTTGTAGAATAAGGCTTGGGCCACAAATTACAAGTCTAAGGTGTGGGCATATTACCTTTATTAAATACGCTAGGGGAAATATATATATTTATGTTTATATCAAGGTCCAATAAGATATTAAATAGAGTCCAAATAAATAATTTCATTCAAGAGCTAAGGGATTTGACCAAAATAAATCCCTTAACTAGATTTAAGGCAAAAGTCATAAAAGATCAAAAGTGTAAGTAGGAGAATTAAATCCATCCTTAGGAAATATTTGGGAAAATCAATTTGGGCTTTCGGGAATAAATTCTCGGGTGTCACACTCTTCCCCCCTAAAAAGAAGCTTCGTCCTCGAAGCTTAGATTCAAGCAACGACAACATTACTAGGAATGGATTAGAAGTTCAAGTTGTGTGACAAGAATCAAAAGTGAAATAAGCAAAAGGAGAATTTATCAAAGGAAGTCTTTTCACCAAATTTAACTTAACTAGGACTAAGCACTAGACTACCCAAGTCTATATAACTAACACTAAGACATACCAAAACGCTAAGATTGTTTAACAGTTAAACTATGTTAAACTAAGGTACCTGAGATAAACAAGTCTGGGTAGCGCTCCTTCATCACATCCTCCATTTCCCAAGTCGCTTCTTCGACCTCATGATTCGACCACAACACTTTCACCAACTTTACCGATTTCCTTCGAGTTTCTCTTGTTTTGGTGCCCAAAATCTTCATGGGCCTTTCTTTATAAGATAAGGTCTCATCCAAAGACACAACCTCGGGTTGAAGAACGTGGGTGGCATCATGTACATACTTCGTCAATTGGGATACATGGAAAACATCATACACTCGATCCAACTTGGTAGGTAGAGCTAAACGATAATCCAACTTCCCAACACGTTCAAGGATCTCATAAGGGCCTATAAACCTGGGGCTTAATTTCCCCTTTTTCCCAAACCTCATTACTCCTCTGGTTGGTGAGATTTTCAACAAAACCTTTTCTCCTTCTTGGTATTTAGCTGGCTTTCTTCCCAAATCAGCATAAGACTTTTGGCGATCTTGGGCGGTTTTCATCCTTCCTTGAATTATCTTAATCTCTTCTGTTGTCTCTTGCAAATTCTGTGGTCCCAAAGTCACGGGGTTAACCAAGTCTTCCCAACATAAAGGGCTTCTACACTTCTGCCCATACAAGGCCTCGTAGGGTTCCATCTGAATGCTCGTGTGATAGCTGTTGTTGTAAGAAAACTCGACCAAGTCTAAATATTCCTCCCATGATCCTTGGAAATCCACAGCACACAAGCTCTCAACATATCCTCTAAGGTCTGAATTGTCCGCTCAGTTTGTCCGTATGTTGCGGGGTGAAAATTGATACTTAGCTTCAATCTTGTTCCCAAAGCTGCTTGCAAAGATTTCCAAAACTGAGATAAGAATCTTGAATCCCGATCGGAGACAATGTGGCGTGGTATCCCATGATACTTGACCACCTGACTCACATAGGCTTTGGCTAACTAATTCATTGACTAAGTTTCTTTCATTGCAATGAATCGCGCCATCTTGGTCAAACGATCCACTATCATCCAAATCTTATCTTTTCCAGTCTGAGTTAAAGGCAAACCTCCCACAAAATCTATTGAAATTGAATCCCACTTCCCTTGTGGTATCTCTAGCGGTTGAATTAGTCCCTTAGGCTTGCACCTTTCAGCTTTGACCTTTTGACAGATTAGGCATTTGCTTACAAAGTCTGCCACTTCTCTTTTCATGTTCGGCCACCAGAATTGTCTTTTTACATCCTTATAGAGTTTGTCACCGGGGTGTACCGAGTATGGGGTGTTGTGTCCTTCTTCTAAAATTTGTCTCTTTATGTGCTCACAAGCCCTAGGTACACACCACTAGCCCTTGTAGCGGAGACTCCCGTCATCGGCCAATTCAAAGGGTATCGTCTTTCCATCCACTAAGCTAGATCTTACTTTATTTAGTTCATCGTCTTTTAGCTGTTCGTTCTTCATTTCCTCAAACATAGCAGGCATGACTCTTAAGCTAAACAATTTGATCTCGGCATCCACTTGCCCTTGCTCCATCACCTCCAAATTCATTCTTTGGAAATCCTTACATAGTTCGTCCGCCAACACCCAATTAGTATTGAGGGAATGCCTTGCCTTCATACTTAACGCATCCGCCACCACATTAGCATTTCCTTCATGGTATTGAATAACCAAATCATAATCCTTAATAAGTTCCAACCATCGTCTCTGTCGCATATTCAAATCTTTTTGAGTGAAGATATACTTTAAACTCTTGTTGTCGGTATAGATCTTACATTGTACTCCCTACAAGTAGTGTCTCCAAATCTTAAATGCAAAAACTACGGTGGCTAACTCCAAATCATGGGTAGGATAATTCTCCTCGTGACTCTTGAGATGTCTTGACGCATAAGCTATTACTTTATCGTTCAACATTAATACACAACCCAAACCTTTCTTCGAAGCATCACTAAAAACCTCGAATCCATCTAAGCCGGACGGTAGTGCCAACACACTGGCGGGTGGCAAACTGCCCGCTAGAAGTACCCGCTGGTACTGTAACTCTGTAGAAAAATGTTGCTCGAGAAAAATTCCAAGAATCTGCAATCCAAGTTCAAACACATCAATACACTCATCAACAACAAATATGACTTCAATAGAAGGAATATCACATCAAAGATCATCACACAACACAAGATCAAAAAGAATACACATTGTATAGTTTAAATTAGGTTTTCATGGACATAGGGTTACCTCTTAGCTCAGCAAAACCTTCAAACCTTCCTCAAAATCACCCTAGCATGTCCTCATCAACATGATCTTCAACCAAGACCCCAAACCCAAACACAAGGAGTAAAATCTTAGATGATGTAGAAGGAAAACCATAAATAAAGACCATAAACATCTACCTCTTACCCTTCCTATGCTTGGTGAGTATGAAAGATGGAAACTTGCTTAGTCTTCTTGGTTGGAAAATGAAGAACACTTTTAGTAGGGCAAAAATGGTGGAAATGGTGTGTGGAGTAGAGAGGGAGTGAGCTGAAAAGTTTGAGAAGAGTGACGCTAGCTAAGTGGTGGAAGTTCAAGGGTGGGTGTATTAGGTTGTAGAATAAGACTTGGGCCACAAGTTACAAGTCTAAGGTGTGGACCTATTACCTTTATTAGATAGGCTAGCAGAAATATATATATTTATGTTTATATCAAGGTCCAATAAGATATTAAATAGAGTCCAAATAAATAATTCCATTCAAGAGCTTAGTGATTGGGCCAAAATAAATCCCTTAACTAGATTCATGGCAAAAGTCATAAAAGATCAAAAGTGTAAGTAGGAGAATTAAATCCATCCTTAGAAAATATTTTGAAAAATCAATTTGGGCTTTCAGGAATAAATTTCGGGGTGTCACAGATTTCCCGCGCCCGGAGGGCTCGGCTTCCTCATCTGCAAGGGTTGGGCGGCGGGTCGCTAGTCGGCTTCAGTGTCGGCAGCTCAGGATGATTCAGCTAAATCCCCCGGGAATGCATCGATCTCCCGAATGGTTGAGTCGTCTGTGTAGACTATGAAGGAGCCGACCTCGACATTATCGTCATGGTCCGACTTGAGATGTTTTAGCTGTCGGAGTCCGACATGTCTTTTCCTTAAATATTAAGGGAAGACGTTTTAGTGTGAAAGCCCGGGATAAGGATACGTGCAAAGTGTGTTTGAAACAAAAAAAAAAAAAAAAAAAAAAAAAAAAAAAAAAAAAAAAAAAGCTTTAATGAAAATTTTAAAGTAAGAATCTCGAAAAGGTACTTACTGGTTGACTTCGCGATAGATCGGGAAAGCTTGGGTGTAACACCCCCGTTTTCTAACACTTGAGCTTAGATAAATCATATCTTACGTAGCAGATTGAGCCAAACGATTCTATCAAACTTAGGATTAAAGTTTAGAATCTTTAACCAACAATGGGGAATGCTACTGCCACAACTACCACTCTTGAGTAGTTGTTCCGGCTAAAACTACAAAACAACAACGACAAGATAAACATAAGCACGGGCTCTAAGACCCAGATGTCATTGCATCACACAACCCACAGGATCTAAGGGAAAACTATAAAATCAACATCAATAAGTCTTCAAATCAACCAAAGTCATTAGACATAAAGGGAGATGCATCTAAAAAGACTAAGCTACTGGATAAGACTACCAAGAATCAAGTCACTATAACAATAGGGTTTATCTAATAAAACCAAACCAACAAGAAAGAACTAATCAAATGATCAAGCCTCTAATACGCGCTCAGCAAGAATCAGCCAAACTTGAAAGGGGTTAAGTAAAACATAAGAAAACAACCCGTTAGCAAAAAATGCTAAGTATAAATCACTCAACCCTATAAATAGATATAGATATAGATTTGGAAAATAGTTTGTTTGACATCAACATATAACACATAGGATCATAGAGGTAAACCAAATCGATAGAATATAGATATTCATGAGCCCACATATATTTATAAATAACATATATAGATGCAACTCACACTCATGCTTGTACAATTAATAATTACCCACTAAGTAATGAATATGCAAAGATACAATTAAATGAGATTGAATAAATATGGGTAGTTCATAATGAATATCATAAGTAAGGAATAAGTATAATGCAAATCTGTACCATCATGCTAAGTAACTCGAATGATAAAACGGTCACCGCATTTCATTTGTATTCATAATAGGTTTCAAAGCATCATAATAAAAGGTATCTCAAATAGATATGCATATCATTTATATAAATACTCTCACTCTCAAGAAAATAGAGTATCATAGTAGTAATACTGGAGGAATCTCATATCAATCTCATCAATCTCATCTGTATCATCATAATCTCTTCAATCTCATCTGTATCATCATAACCTCAGTATCAATCACATATGTCTCATCATAACAGTGGGGAGGTAGGAACTTCACCAAATGTGACAGAACCTAATCCGGGTTCAGCAAATATCGAACGGCCTAATCTCATGCTCTCCCACTAATCTCATATCATCTTTGGAAGCAAGTATCGTACCTTCAATGTGCACACCCCCTGACTGGGATTCAAGCTCGGCGGGTAGTATCCAACCTAGTAGCCCAGAATTTTTCTACCAAGCTACTTCAATCTCATATCTATCCAGAATTTTTCTACTGGACTTTCTCATCATAATATCATTTCATCATTTCTGCCAAAAGGACATAGTCCAATCGAATCCTCCAAAAATATAAGTTTTCCTCACATATAAAAGATAGCGGTGACATGACATTTGAAAACTTTCTTTTCCCATAATGGAAATCACACACACACACACACACACACACACACACACACACACACACACACACACACACACACACACACACACACACATATATATATATATATATATATATATATATATATATATATATATATATATATATATATGTTTTTCAAAGAGAGTATGTAATAAGTAAATATAGATATATACATATATAGATTTTGAAAGGGTTTTAGACTTTTAGGGCATTAGTATATGCCCTTCGAAAATAAATACGTAGTTTGGTATGTTATTTGTTTTTTGTTACATCCGTTTTTATATATTAAGACCAATCAATTTTTTTCAAACGTTAAGCAAATCAACAGTGTTTGAGTTTTACTATTCTCAACAATTGTAGATACTATACGTAGTTTGGTATGTTATTTGTTTTTTGTTACATCCGTTTTTATATATTAAGACCAATCAATTTTTTTCAAACGTTAAGCAAATCAACAGTGTTTGAGTTTTACTATTCTCAACAATTGTTTTATTTTCATGTGTGTGTGCATATATATATATATATATATATATATATATATATATATATATATATATATATATATATATATATATATGTAGACACACACACACACACATTTTATACTTTTTCCGTGCATCGCACAGGTGGATAACTAGTTATTATAATGGAGCTAGTGTGTGAAAAATGAAATTAAAAAATAGAGCTCGTTTAATAATGTTTATTGTCAAATGAAGCTGAAGTATAATTAAAATGATAATCTAGTGTTACTATAATGAAATAAAAAAAAAAAAAAAAAAAAAAAAAAAAAAAAAAAAAAAAAAACAACAAAGCTCATACAAAAATATATTGTCAAATGAAACTAAAGTGAATATTATCAAAAGAAACTAAAGTATAATTAAAA